GGCCGCCAGTAGCAGAGCGCGCGCACTTAACCGCTAAGCCACGGGGCCAGCTCTCTACTTTTCATCTAACAAAACAATGTCATAATCTACTCCAAATGTCACTTAGGTGTTGGGACAGCTAATGCCTCTCCTCTCTTCAGCAGGACAGGAGAAGGGCACTTACCGATAATATTTCTCTTTGACTATGGCATAAATTAGAACCAATGCCAGAGACCCATCCAGGACAACAGTCAGAATTTCCAAAGACACAATGGTTGGATCAAAATAAAGCCATCTTGCATCAGCTTTGCCATATTCTTTCCCTAAAAACAAAATACATTTCGTCATTCATCTGGCAATCATTTTTATGACGGTCAATGGAAATGAACTTTTTTCCCTTAAGGAGGAGACAAAAAGAACAACTGCCACTTTCTCTACATTCTTCATCATGCCTCAGTGGAAAGCAAGAGAAGCCCGGAGACTAAAACGCATTTGCCACCTGACACAAATAGTAATAACAGTATCATGTTATATTTGTAAAATAACTTACAGTTTCTAAAGTGCTTTCACATATGCACCCTCTCCACGCTCTCCCTTTTCATTATAAGCAGCAGAATTCTAAATTAATTTGACAGAGTCAGATTTTGCAAAGACAATCTTTTAATTATTTTCTTGGTAAATGCATTATAGTTCCTTACTTCAAAATTTCAATATAAAGTCTGTAAGTATAATTTAGATGTGGAAAAATTGTTATTAAGGAAATGTTTATTAAAAACACATGTTTATTAATAATTGAAGAGAAATTGAGTGCTGACAGGGCAGAGGGAAGGGGAGGGGAATGATAATGACATAGCCTAGATTCTAGAATGAATCCAAAATGGACAAAGGGGGTGTTTCAGTAGGCTACAGGGACAGGATTCACTAACAACAGCCACCACACAAAGCCTCCATTGTGCTGACTGGGGAGCAAGGAGACCCTAAGAAATCTTTCTAGATTCCATGATCAGGACAGTTTCTTCTAGAAAGCACTATGAGGCCAGAAAGTCTTTTTAGAGCTGGACTAAGAGCTATGCACTGGGTGAAGCCATTCTCCTCTCCTTTCCTTTCCTTCCTTCGTCTGTCCTTCCCTCCTTCCTTCCTTCCTCCCTCCCTTCCTCCCTCCCTTTCTCCCTTCCTCTCTCCCTCCCTCCCTTCCTTCCTTCTCTCTTTTTTCCTTCTTTCCTTCCCTCTTTCTCTGTCTTTCTTTTTTAATTTATCAAAGTAATACACGCAGGTCATAAGATCTCAAATAATCAAAGTAAAAAAAGTCCCCACTTCTTCTCTCCCTTTAAATACCATTCTCACATTATTTAAAAAAGGTTTGAACGATCAAAAATTAGCTACATTATGACTGGTCTGAGCAGCACAAAGCTCTAGTCTCTTAACAGCGAGAGTCAGGATCCCTCGGAGCTGGGACAAAGGGTTCTAATGAAAGGCTGTCCTGAGAGAAAGGAGGGCCAGTAAACAGGATTACCTATTTAATGAGATAACACACAGACACATGCTGAGAGGAGATTCTGTGAAAAGCCAGACACAAGGAGCAGGCGAGGCCATCCGTCCAGCCTGGCCTTAGCCAACTGCCAGCCATCAACTAACTGGAAAACAACATAATCCTGAAAGTAACAGTTTTTCCTCTAAATTTAAACATACATACAATAGGTGAAATGTACCATCTAGTGCATCCAAAATTTAAGGAAATATCACTTAAGTAAAATGCCACTGCTTTAGGAACTAAAAGATTAGTGGGTGTTTCGACATTCACAAAAGTAACACCATTCGTTCATTCTTTCACCATCCATTCCTTAGGGGGTGTTTAGACATTCACAAAAAACAAATCTTTTGGAGCATATGGAAGGCTCTGGGCTAGGCCTCGAGAATGCAGCAGTGACTGGGACGTAAAGTGTGCCCACTAGTGGTTCACACTCTAGTGAGGTCAAACCATGCAATAAGTGACAGTGACAGAGTATGGGGACATGGAGGAAGTGGCACTTAAGCCAGATAAGGAAGATGAGGTGTTTTCATCACTTCCTCTTCACCTTGTTAGTGAGAGAGGGATTCCCGCCCTAGAGTTATGGGGAGGGCCCATTCAATGAGTGTCATTGGACAGAGGAGGTTGATGGCAGGTCACATATACTCGTAGCCTGGAGGAGGAGGACAGCGTGGCACACAGGGCCACATGGGGGTTGCATTTGGAAATGGAATGAAGAGGAGCAGCTGTGGGAGGCAGGGTTTGTAGTAACAACAGGATAGGATGACTCCTGTTTCCCATATGCAGGCAATGTGCCTGGTCCCCACCACAAGGAGGATTATTTGGCTAGGGGACCTTATAGGTGGAGGCAGAGTGGGGAGGGGACTTGCAGTTAGGCCATTTGAGGCCCTGTGGATTTCACCAGACATCAAGGCACACATAATATTGGATCTTAATTTGAGGCCTTATAGCACAAGAGGTGCCCCCTGAACTGCGTGAAGGAGAAGGGTGTTTCAGGGAGGAACATGTGCAAAGGCTTGGAGCTAAGAGAACGTGGTATGTCTGAAACTACATTTATTTCAGCCAAGCTGAAGAAGACAGTGTGTGTGTGAGTGTGAGTGTGAGTGTGTATGGGTGGGGGGCGGTGGCAAGGTTAATGCTGGAGAGGAAGGCAGGGAGGATGGTAAAAGCAGGCCCACTATCCACCAGTCCCAGCGCATCAAGCCTCCAGTATCCTCCACTGCTTAACCTTGATTATCTCTTTGCTGGTTAAACACCTAGACAGAGAAAGGGCAAACAGAGCACTAATAAGCCTACTGACATGATCATTACCACTTATTTTATTTTATTTTTTTTGTGAGGAAGATCAGTCCTGAGCTAACATCCATGCTAATCCTCCTCTTTTTGCTGAGGAAGACCGGCTCTGAGCTAACATCTATTGCCAATCCTCCTCCTTTTTGTTTTTTTCCTCCCCCAAAGCCCCAGTAGATAGTTGTACGTCATAGTTACACATCCTTCTAGTTGCTGTATGTGGGACGCGGCCTCAGCATGGCCGGAGAAGCAGTGCGTTGGTGCGCGCCCAGGATCCAAACCCGGGCCGCCAGTAGCGGAGCGTGCGCACTTTACCGCTAAGCCATGGGGCCAGCCCCATTACCACTTATTTTGTGACTGACTGCCAGGCTTAGGCAGAAGTTTAGAAGGAAAGACGCACACTAAGGGCTGGAGTAGCCGAGCCACAGCTGAACCACAGAGTAAGATTAGGAGAGGATAAGGGAGACGACTCTCTTCTTGACCAGGCTCCAGTGAGGCTCCTCTGAGCCCTCTTCCCGACCAGGCCTCAACCTCAGGCTCTGTCCTTGTCCTGCTTAGTTTTAGCAAGAATCCTGCTGAGTCAGTTTACCAAAAATCCCCTATTCTTGGTATCTTACCATCTTTTTTCCCCCTAGTTATATTGAGACGTAATTGACATATGGCACTGTATAAGTTTAAGGTATACAGCATGATGACTTGACTTACATATATTGTGAAACGATTACCACAATAAGTTTAGTTAACATCTATCATCTCATACAAATATAATAAAAAGAAAAAGCAAAAAATAAAAAGAATATTTTTTCCTTGTGATGAGAACTCTCAGGATTTACCCTCTTAACAACTTACAGCAGTGTTACCTATAGTCATCATGTGGTACATTACATCCCCAGTACTTATTTATCTTATAACTGGAAATTTGTACCTTGGACCACCTTCATCCAGTTATCCCACTCTCTGCCCCCCACCTCTGGTAACCACAAATCTGATCTCTTTTTCTACAAGTTTAGGTATTTTGGTTTTTCTTTTTTTAAGATTCCACATATAAGTGAGACGACACAGTATTTGTATTTCTCTCTCTGGCTTATTTCACTTAGCATAATGCCCTCGAGGTCCATCCATGCTGTCACAAATGGTAGGATTTCCTTCTTCTTAATGGCTGAATAATATTCCATTGTATCTATATACCACAGCTTCTTTATCCATTCATTCGTCACTGGACACTTAGGTTATTTCTACAGCTTGGCTATCGTAAATAATGCTGCTATGAACATGGGGGTGCAGCCATTTGATCACTCTTGATATTTGATCAAATTCCTCATCCCCCACCCCTGACATCTTATCACCCTGGCCTGCCTTCAGCAAGAATCCTGATCAAGGGCCGGCCTGGTGGCATAGTGGTTAATTTCGCGTGTTCTGCTTCGGCGGCCTGGGGTTTGCCAGTTCAGATCCTGGGCACGGACCTGCTCACTGCTCATTGAGCCATGCTGAGGCAGCATCCCATATAGAAGAGCTACAACTCTACAACTGTGATACACAACTATGTACTGGGACTTGGGAGAAAAAAGAAAAAGAGGAAGATTGGCAACAGATGTTAGCACAGGGCCAATCCCCCTCAAATTAAAAAAAAGAAAAAAAAAAAAAAAGAATCCTGTTCAGTCAGTCTATGAAGAATCCCTGTAGCTCTGATGTTTCTTCTTAGCAATTTTCCATCCACTGACCCCCACCCTGCTCCTTGGCTATAAATCTCCACTTGTCCTTGTTGTATTTAGAGTTGAGCCTGATCTCTCTCTCTTACTGCAAATCCCCCACTGCAGTGGTTCCTCTTAAATAAAGTCTTCCTTACCATCTTTAACAAGTGTCATGAATAATTTTCTTTAATGGGGTCTACATAATATTTATAGCCCACCTCTATATCCTGGTGAATCAAAGGACGGTCCACCCATCAACCTGTGGGAAGTCTTAACCCAAACCCTCTAAATCAGAGTCTGTAGTTTAACAAGAGCCCTAGGCAATTTTGTGCACATTAAAGTCTGAGAAGCACTACCCTATATCATTTTATCATTTACATCATGGATTTTCACTTTTGTGAGAATAAAGGGCACCTCTATTAAATGAGTTTCCACTTTTTTTAAGGTGAAAATGTAAACTGAAGATGACCGATAAAGACGGTGTTACACATTTGCATTTCACGGGACTGAGCCAAAGCTGGGCTGTTCCCTTTTGCTTTCTTTTTTTTAATATTCAATTTTTTGTTGTTGTTGTTTTTCTTTGTGAGGAGGTCAGCCCTGCGCTAACATCTGCCAATCCTCCTCTTTTTTTGCTGAGGAAGACTGGCCCTGGGCTAACATCCATGCCCATCTTCCTCCACTTTACATGGGACGCCGCCACAGCATGGCTTGACAAGCAGTGCGTCAGTGCATGCCTGGGATCCGAACTGGGGAACCTCGGGCCGCCACAGCAGAGCGTGCACACTTAACTGCTTGCGCCACTGGGCCAGCCCCATGTTCCCTTTTTCTGATGCCAGGCAGAGCTGTCAGGGTGAAAGGACAATAACTTGCGCTGGGTCCCTCAGCCCCTGGGCTTCCCCAGCAGTTCTCAAGCACAGTTGAATCCAGCCTAATCACCAGAAAGGTGCCCGGCTGTATTTCACTCAGACCAGGGAACTGAAGTAGCCTGACTCCAGGTGTGGGGCCGCAGGCTCCCTGAGCTGCACTGGCTAGGACCTGAGAGGCATCAAAGACAACACGTTTTGCTTTGAGAAGCACTAACTGTAGCTGACTCACTTTCTAGAGGAGTTTCCAACACTAGTGGTGAATAGGAGTCCCAACACAGATCCTGGCTGGAGGATATGATTTCAGGATTCAGAATTTCAGACACAAAATCTGAAAGAAGTTATCCTGCACAAGGCAGTTCTATGATAGTGGCAAAGGACCCTGTTGTTGCATGGCTCATTTATTTGTCAAAATTCACATAGTACATGGGAGGTAGTCAATACTGCTTGATTGAACATTGACTGATTTGCAGTGAGCATGAAGAAGGTAGGGAAAAAGAGTTAATATCTCTGCAGAGCAGGAAGATTTTTGGAAATTATCTACAAGACTACAGAGATATATATATATATATATATGTATATATATGTATACACACACACAATAAAAAGAAAGTTGATATTAAAAGTATGAAAAACACCCAGCTTAAATACTGCAAGCTCTTCAATCTGTACTCATTACAAAGTTTTTAATATACAGTTTTATTGAGATATAATTCATGTGCCATATAACTCACCCATTTAAAGTGTACAATTCAATGGGTTTTAGTATATTCACAGATTTGAATCACCACGATCTAATTTGAGAACATTTCATTACCCCCAAAAGAAACCCATACCCATTGTCAGGCACTCCCATCTCCCACTTTCCCCACCCCTCCCCCTACAGTCCTAGGCAATCACTCCTCTATAATCTGTCTCTATAGATTCACCTATTCTGGACATTTCATATAAATGAAATCACACAATATGTGATACAGGTACTCACTTAATTGACTTGGAATTAATCTCCCCAAATGCAAATGTCTTAAATTACTTACACAGTGAAGCGATCAAGCCATCAGACTCTGCAACGTTTCCCACCAAAGACAAGTAGACAAAAGGGCCTTCCTGGAGAGAAGAAAACGAAAACAAGCTCTAATTTAGCATCACAACCACAGGATGGCACCGCAGATACATGGCCTTGCCTGGTAGCATCCCCCAGGAGCCTACATCCTGGTCAGTGCACCTGACCTGACACAACCCCAGGGGTGCGATCCTGGCTCCCTGACCTTGGAAATATGTATGTCCAAAGCGAATGTTTATATAAGAAATGCTGTTTTTCAGTGATTGGCGTTATAAAATCAGAGGTGCGTTCTTATGGGGAAAAAATAAGTTGAAAATTTTGCACAAGAGTTTAAGTGTTATATTAAATAGGCTAAATTCTGGATTATTCCAGGCATTTTCCACCTTTGAGAAGTCTCATAGCAGTTCATTTCGTCTCACCTCAAAACAAAAAATCCAAGATCTCTCTCAACAAAAGTGGTATTCACATATCTATATGATATCTATATCAGATATCTATATCAGAGTTGAACTAGTTCTTTTTCCTGCATAAGGGCAAACTTAGGAAAATTAAAAACGCTTACGGCTACATTTTAAATTTTAGGTAATGAAATATCTGCAATTATACTCAGTATTTTCCCATCACTAAAGCATTTGTCTAAAATTTCAAAAACTAATTAACTAGAATTCACTGGGATATCTGATCGTCATGTCGCTCCTTTGAACAAATTTTGCCACTGGCCAAGACAACTTTTCCTCATTTCTTTTTACCAAAGCAGTTGCTCATATAACATTAAAATTGTGTCTCTGCCTAATCTCGGCTCACTTCTAGTACCATTTCCCAGAGGTTACTACTTATAACCACTCTGTCTTCAGTCCTCGGGGTTATCTTCATAACTCATAATATACTGCTATTTCTTTAGACATTATCAACTAACAGCCCATCCTGAAAAATTATGATTTAATTATACTGCTTCCTCTCCCCTTCCCAGTCCTTCCAGTACTTAATAGTCTAGGGGAGGAAAAACTTCCTTCTCCCCTCTTAGATTCTGTAGCTGGCTTAAGAATTAACTGACATAAGACAGATTAACAGGAGATAAACATACCAATTTTATTCAATATTTTTACATATCCACAAGAGTCTTCAAAAGGAAAACAAAAACCTAAAGAAGCTGCTAGGTCCAAAAGCTTATATACATTTTACATAAAGAACGATCAATTATGGGGATGTGACAAGACAAAGGCGCTTGGGCTAGGGACAATAAATTGCGGGAAAGTGGCTAACAAATATATGGGGGAAGCTAATGGAAGATAAGAGTTATTTTAGTAGGTTCATTTGTATAGGTCCGTTTTGGCGTTTACACCCAGTCTCTGGTGATAAGAATGTTCTTCTCTTCCTGGTACCGGGAGGGCACCTTTCTCATGGGAATTTAATGACTTGATTTTAGGTAGAAAGGGGGAGGTCAGAGAGCCCTTCCTGCATCTGTTGCTTCGCAGTTGCCTTCAGCTCAAAATAATCAATATGCCAAAGCGGCGTATTCTGGAATGGCATGTTCCGAACCCCTTCAAATACCTACAGTATATTATTCTCTTTAATTTTTCTATTACTTACCCAAATTTGTAACTGAAGCAATAAACTTAAAACCTTAGCTTACTCTTTCATCAGTGTTGCCCAGTATTTCGACTTCTTACCGTGTAAGATGAGCACAATAGTCCCTACCATGCTTTCTCGCTCTCCTCCCCATTTCTAACTCTCAACTTCTGTCCACCTTGCTTGTACACTGTTGAGATTGACTACATTTCCATTCTTGTTCTGTAAACATATCTGTCTTCCCTATTTTATCTGTAAGTGGATTTTAAAGCTGAAAAGCCAATCTACAGCATTTAAAATATGGTGATTATGTAAAAATCATTCACTGCAATAGGCCATTTCTCTACAAATCCAGTCTTGTGACTCCTGTGTCACTTAAGGAGAATGTGGCAAATGGAAAATTCTTTCTTACACTCCTGAATTTCTCAAAATCATGCTATATTTTAGTTTGCTTCATATGTGGGCTATGACTTTCTTATAAGTCATTTTTGTTTACGCTCCAGTTTGTAATTGCCTTTCTTTTGCTCCAATTGAGAGAAGAAACCTTTCTCCACATCTCATTAATATCTTTCAGCTTCTTATCCATTCCAATGTCTGTTGAATGGAGGCTTTGAAGCTGGTTTATTCTGTCTTTTCTTGACACTCTGTAAGTTACTTAATTGGTAAATGTGGTTTATCTTAGAGTATATGTAAAAATTGTATTCTTTAAAGGAGACTTTTAAAAATTACATATGAGATAAACAGCAATGTTTTAAAATAAGAAGTCCTTCCAGGCCACTTTGCAACTCCTTATTTTCACCAACCGATTTTTTATCTTTAGCAGAGCCATAGCAAACACAGACCACTTCCCTGACTTGGCCTGGGAACTTTCTAGACAAAATACATCCACTGGACTGGCGAGTAGAGGCAATGAGACTGGGTTGAATCTGACCTGCTCTAGGCCCCAGTACATCTATCTGTAAGATGAAGGACTTCCTAAAATTAGATTGTGGATCTCATCCTAAAACTAGATGTGACTAACAACTTCTTCAACTGGAGCCATTAGGAAAACATGGTCCTTAGGTCCAAGATCTCTCATCAGAAGCAACTCTGTGGGTAAGAGCAAGATGGAGAGCCGGCAATCCACAACATGCGGGGACCCAAGAGTGTATAACAGATTTGTTCCCTTTTATATCTACCTGTTGATGTTCTACTCCTTTTTCAAATCCCAGCTGAAACCCTCCTTCTTCCAAGAAGCCTTCCCAAACCTCCTAGTGAGGATTAATTTCTCACTCTCCCTTGTTACTAAATTTGTGTTCTGTAATCAACTGTCTGCTGGTTATGGATGTTCAGTACCCATTAGATCATACATCTCTGGGGTCTAGAGATGTTGTCTTCTCTGTCTTATAATCCTTAAGAACCCAGGATGATATTTTGTGTTGAGTGTTTGCTAATCAGGAATTAATGACAAGTTCACATAATGAATTACTCAGAAAGAAAGATGCCCTGTGGGGCTTTTAGAAGGCACTATATATTTCTTACTATATTAACGCCTTAAATGTAAAGGCAGTATAATATACATAAAGTGTAATGAATATAGTCATGCCTCCAAATACCGATCAGATGTTACCTCCTCCAGGGAGGTAGGTGTCTCTCCTCCACAGAACCCTGTTTATTTGTCTTCTCCTCAAAACTGTTAGTTCCTTTAGGGCAAAGTCTTTGTCTTTTATCTCTATATTCCAAATGCCTGACAGATGGTACAAGCTAGTGAATGTTTATCAAAAGAATAAGAATAAAAGGAGGATGAGGGGGGATTAAAAAAAGAGAGTTAAAAAACAAACAAACAAACAATCCAATCAGAAAATGGGCAGGGGCTGGTCCAGTGGCATAGTTAAGTCTGTGCACTCTGCTTGGGCGTCCCGGGGTCCACAGGTTCAGATCCTGGGTGCCGACCTACAGACCGCTCACCAAGCAGTGCTGTGTCAGTGTCCCGCATACAAAATAGAGGAAGATTGACACGGATGTTAGCTCAGGGACAATCTTCCTCAAGCAAAAACTGGAGGATTGGCAACAGATGTTAGCTCAGGGCTAATCTTCCTCACCAAAAAAAAAAATAAAAAAAAAAGTTTATTAAGTGGTCTTGATTATTGGATAGCAAGTAGTAAAAAATCATGATCTATACCACAAACCAAAAAAAAAATGAATATTATGAAAAAGAAAAGAAAAAGAAAATGGGCAAAAGAAATGAAGAGACATTTCATCAAAGAGAATATACAGATGGCAAATAAACATATGAAAAGATGTTCAACATTGTTAGCCATTAGGGAAACGCCAATTAAAACCACATGAGATATTACTACACACCTAACAGAATGGCTAAAATAAAAAATAGCGACCACACCAAATTCTGATGAGGATGTGGAGAAACCAGATCACTCATACATTTCTGGTGGGATGAAAATGGTACAGCCACTCTGGAAAACGAGAGTTTGGCAGTTTCTTAAAACTAAACATGCAATTACCATATGACCCAGCAATTGTACTCTTGAGCATTTATTCCAGAACAATAAAAACTCATGTTCACACAAAAACATGCACACACATGTTCATAGCAGCTTTATTTGTAATAAGTAAAAACCAGATGTCCTTCAAGGTGAATGGGTACACAAACCCTGGTACATTCACACCTCGGACTACTCCCCAGCAGTAAGAAGGAACCAACTACGGATACACTCAACAACTGGGATGGATCTCCAGGGAATTGTGCTGAGTGAAGAAAGTCAACCTCAAAAGATTACAATGCTATGATTCCGATTCCATTTATATAACACTATTTGAAGTGATGAAGTTTAGAAACGGAGGACATATTACTGGCTGCCAGGGCGTCGGAGGTAGAGGGAGGGGAAGGACAGGTAGTTACAAAAGGAAAACACTAGGGATCTTTGTGGTGTTGCATCTTTTCAGTGCCTTAACTATTGTGGTTGGATACACAAACCTACCCAGTTGATAAAATGGTATAGAACTTACACACACACACACACACACGTGCAAGTGAAACTAGGGAAATCTGAATAAGATCAGTGGATTGTATCAACGTCAACATCCTGGTTGTGATATTATAGTATAGTTTTGAAAAATCTTACCATTGGAGGAACCTGGGCAAAGAGCACAGGGATCTCCCTGTACTATTTTTTACAACTGCGTGTCAATCTACAAGTATCTCTAAAAAAATTTTTCAAGAAAACCAGACAGGTACGAAGAGAGATATAGAAAAAAAGAGTAATGTTACTAATTGAATAACATTTTTAAAAATCAATTGTAAGGACTTTTTTTAAATTTAGAGTAGGCTGGGCCCTGGCCTCAGAGAGCTTATTATCTAGCTGGGTAACACTCACAAATCCAATTCAATAAAGATTGGAGGAAGATGAGGGGGCAGTGGTTGGGACAGTCAGGGAAGACTTCCAGAAAGAGGCAGGCCTCGAGCTGGGTCTTGGTG